CCTATTTCTTCTAAATAAGAGGATCTTCCTCGTCTTTTGTGCCCAGTTAATTCCAGTTGTCTTGCAAGTTGACTCCCTCCTCTGGCCCTGAGGCAGATTTAAGTGTGACCTGTACTGAGTCTTCCCAAGACCTGTTCTATCCTTCATGGCAGTCATTCTCTTGTCACTGTTGTTTATTTTTGTGCATCTACACCATAACGTCGAGACCCTTAGGGAACAGAGAACATGGTGCATCTACTTCCACACTCCATTTAGACTAAAACCTGAAGGGTGAGGAGTGGGAAGGCAGCTAGAGGGTCAGAGGTTCTGGCAGAGGGCGGAGCAGGTGCAAAGGGAGCCCCGGGTGGGAGTGTCAGGGACGGAGCGGGAGGGCCAGGTGATCTGAGGGACCACACGGACTGTGATTGAGAAGGGTGGACTTTATCCTGGGCAAGGGGGCCTCTCCAAAATGATTTCATCTGGGGTGTGTCCTGGTCAGATTTACAAAGAGCAGCGTGGCTGCTGTGAGAATAGATCAAAGAGGGCAAACAGGAAAACCCTTGTTTTGCTCTACTCTGAATTTACTCCTCACATCAAACACATCTCTGACCAGATGTGCAGGTGATTTTCCCATACTATGCAGTTCTGACACCAGCTGAGTGCCCTGCAATTCAGCTCAGTTCAGACACGGTCTACAGCTGTCAGATCCTCAGGTTAAGAGCTCAGTCCGACAAGACTGCCTCCCCCACCTCCAGACACCACTGCAAGCCCGGGCTGTCCCATGCTTCTGCCCAACCCACTATAAATTGGATCTTCCCATGACCACTCCTTGGGTTCGATTAGTTTGCCAGAGCACTTCAGAAAACTAAAGGAAACGGTTTACTTGCCATTACCGATTTATTACAAAGGATATGAATGAAGAGCCAGATGGAGAGGCACAGAGTGCGGTCTGGAAGAGTACAGTGCACCGGAGCTTCTGTCCATCTGGGGTGCGCCACCCTCCTGTGGAGGGCTCACTACACAGGTACATTTGATCAAATCACTGGCACTTAAGTCAAGCTCAAAGTTCTAACCTCTGATCATACAAGTTGGTTCGAATGGCAACCGGTCCTCATTTTATGGTTATCTAGAGGCTTTCCAAAAAGTCACTTTATTAACATAAACTTAGGTGCTATTGAAAGGAATAACAAAACTGTCTTTATAGCTCTCATTACCTAGGAAACTTTAACACCTACTTGCCAGGAACATGAAGACCAAAATACATATATATATATTAATGTCATAGAGGGCAAGACTGAAGGCAGAGTTGTAATGAACTAGTGGAGGCATGGCGGTGGGAAGAGAGGGGTGAATCAAGGATTCATCCAAGGTTCACCAAGGTTATGGTTTGGACAACTGGGTACAGGGTTTCATCACCTGAGGCAGGAAATTCAGGAGGTGATTTGTGGGGGAAGAAGACACGATTAGTTCAACATGGAAGATGTTGAGTAAGACGCTTTTGAGACATCCAGGTGAGGTATCTTGAGTCCCTTTAACTAGTCCAGAATCAGGACACCAGTGCTGCGTGGGGGCCAGAGCCAGAGCCAGAGCCAGAGCCTGGCCCCCTTAACTTACAGGCAGTCGTAGCTGTCACGACTTCACGGAGCTCTTCCGATCAGAGGGAGCAGAGAAGGCGAAGGGGGCCCAGGGTGCAACCCTGGGGAATGAACACTGAGGGTCAGAGGAGGAAGGACCCAGAAGCAGCACCAACGAGGAGTGTTTACGGCCACTGGGAGAAAACCGGCCCAGTGCGGTGTGTCATGGAAGTCAAGCAACATGCCTCGCTGTCTGGCATATGCACAGCCACGCAACAGAGAACATGTGACACGTTCAGGGTAGAGACAAATTTGTGCACGCCTAAGCACAGGCTGCAAAGCGAAACAACAGTCATTTTCATTCGACCTGAACACGTAGCGTTTCTTTCCCTACAAACATCTCCCAAGGAGTCAGCAACAAGGGAGCCACGAGGTCAACAGCGCCTTTCTGAGCCTTTGCACATGCTCTTTTCTGTGCCTAGAGTGCTGTTTTCTTTCTTTCCAGTTCCTTTTCCTCATTCACAACCAGCCCAGATTTCATTTCCTGAGCAGATGCCTTCCATCACCTTCAATACCTGTGATTCCCAAGGCAATGATTTCTGTCCTAACAGATCCTACCCAGGGGTGTACAACCTCTTGGCATCTCTGGGCCACACTGGAAGAGTTGTCTTGGGCTACACGTTAAGTACACTAGGACATGTAAGCACAAAAAAAAATCTCATTAATGTTTTAAGTAACTTACAGTTTTGTGTTGGGCCCCATGCATAGCCATCCTGGGCCACACGCAACCCACGAGTGGGACGCTCCCATGAGCAAATGCCACAGCTTTCTGCTTAGCACACAGTTTGGTATTTGGTGTTACATAAGCAGGTGGGTAACTTGAATTTTTCAGCCTTTCCCAGAAAGATTTGGTGGAGCCCTACAACTTGCCAAAATAGGGCAGCCACAATTCTGTTGTTTTGCATTGAAAATGTCACCAACTGGTCCCACACTACCCCTCCAACCTTAACGCTGATCGCATCTCCCTGCGTCCTCAAAGCTTCCACCACCTGCTGTGGGGCAGCCGGTTCCCACAGACCACTCACTCTTCAATCACCTTTATCAGAAACAGGCAACGTCCTGGGCTCCCGTCTCTCACCATCCACGTTTCAACCATCTCTAAGTCTTCCTGAGCCTGCCTTGAGGCTGTAACCTTGAGAACCCGAGTCTCTGTCCCCACCCCACTGCTAGGCATCGGTTTGGGCACTCCTCTCCTTTCCTCCACAGTCACAGTGGACCTCGAACTCACCCCCTGCCTTCTCTTTCCCTATTTACACTACCACCAGGCGATCCCCCTGAAATCCAAATCTAAGTAAACCTGCTTTAAATCACCCAGTCAGTGCCTTCCCACAACTTCCAGGGTAAAAGGCCAACCTCCAGGGCCTGAAGGCCCTGATGGCCGGGCTCTTGCATGTGTCACCTTAGGTTCTGAATGGGTTAAGCTTTTCTGTTTCTTCTGCCTCGATTACCCGTTCATCCTAGTAAACACACACACACACACACACACACACACACACAAAAACACCTGGGTAGACTGTTCCCAGGTGTCCTCTGGTAGCTGGTCAGTCCGTACAATGTGCTCATTTTTGCCCCAGGAGAGTAATGGTATCACTGGGCTGCTCAACTGTGACGCAGAGAACTACACGTGAAACTAAAATCCAGACCTGGGTCCAAATCCTGTTCTGTTACTTACTAATTGCGTAACCTCCAGTAATGTACTCAACTCCTCTGCACCCCAGCTCCCTCTGTACTATGAAAATAAAAACTGCTCCCAAATGTAATAGATGCACAATATTAGATCCAGCACTTTCCTACTGTTCCGCAACTAGTTATTTATTTTTGTTTTCCCCACTAAAATGGGGAAAAGCTCAACCCAGAGATCCCAATTCTGCCTCTCTGAACCACAGAGTCACACAGCTCTATCTTGTTGGGGACCACCCTGCCTGGTTTCAGGAGCTGTAAACCCCCCATGGCTAAGGCTGAGTGAGCGACCTTCAGACCATAAGCCACTAAGGAGACAAAGCTTATCTCCCTGGCAGGAGCTCCACTTCTGCTCCTTCCATAACTGGCCTCCAATGCTTGATCGGTTATCCAATGACAGGTAAGATTCCCCAAGAGGGGAACCACCTAAGACAGGCATGATCACATGAAGGCCCCAGGGAAGGACATGGGGGGCTGTGGAGAAAGGAGGTGATGGATCCTCACCCCTTGGCTTTGACGAAGCCTGAGTCCTCATTCTGTCTGCAAGAAGTCTCCTAATCTCTTGGCTGCCTTACTTCCACTCCCTGACTTAAGCCTGAAACAATAAGAGGGCGGTGCAGCCCTGTGCTGGAAAGGGCAGGCTCCCCAGGTGATCAGGCCTGAGAAAGAAATGTGTAAAATCCTGTGAAACCTGCTTTGCTAAGAATGCTCTCAAGGGTCCGAGCAGGAAATGAGTTTGTTTCCCAAAGTTTTGTAGCCCTTCAGCTAACAGACCCTGACTCAGAATAGGCCCTCAGATCTCTTTGTATTCTATCTATTGTTTGACCCTTACTGCCTGACAATGATGAATGAACTTTACCTGTATTCCTGTGCTAACTGAACCCAATAAAAGCCTGTCCAGGCAAGGGTCAGCGCACTCTCCCCTTGAGAGGGTGGCTAGCCCGCTCTGAAGCGCTCCCCCCTTGAGGGAGTAGCCGTGTGGTCCCTTTTCCTCCACAGGACTCGGTAGTCCGTGTGAATTTATCTCGTATCTCATCCATAACGCCGCAGACACTGCCCACATTTCTATCCCACTATCTACTTATTTTAAAACACTGACCACACCCTCTGCTCTTTCAGTTTAGGTAAGTATCCAAGCCTCTCCATCATTTTCCCTGGCGGATCCTCATTCTTGTTTCCTGTGGAAACCACCTGATCCATTGAGAAATGGTTCACAGTACTCAGTGGACTCCTTTCCAGGCTGAAAACCAAGAGAAAAATTCGATAAGGCACTGGTAATTCTCACCATGGAGAAAGCTGTCTTTCTATCGGGACTCATGGGTCCCAGGACTGAGATCTGTATGCACCCTCTTCTCTCACTCATATTCTCCAGGTACTTGAAACCATGCATAAGGTAACCCTTTATACTGCTACCTCTGTAAGATGCTATTGAAAGAGGAGTGGTAAAGGAAACTTTCTGTGCAGAGCTGGTTTGCTCTGATCATAGGCAGAGGGAGTGAGGAGGTTGTCCCAATAAACCAGTATGCTAGGCTATCTGGTCTGGGGTCGGGTGGAACCCAAGTGGCTTGGGCTGCGGGTACAATACTGATCACAAGTCGTGCCAAAAATACAACTTACTTCTACCCAACGTACCCACTCTTGGTTTCTGCATGAGCTCCAGAAGAGTTGCCTCCCTTCCACCCAGTAGTAAACTCACATGAGATGGAATCCTTTTACAAAAGAGAGGCTAAGTTTATTTAGAGTCATAGGCAGTTGACTCATGCAGTGTGACTCAAACCACAAGAAGCCACTCCCACTTCACGCCGCCATCTGAGTCTTCACGCTGCTGGGGCCCATTCACAGGTTCACAAGTTTCTCATTGAGGGCGATCTGTGACTGTGTGAGGTTGGCCAGGTAGGTCACCATCAGCAGGTCCTGGAAGAGAAAGCAGCCCCGATGAGTGAGAAGCTGGGTGGAAGGTGAGCAGGAAGCTGGTCCTGGCAGCTCTACGACAGACCCTGGGAGTGAGGACAGTCCTGGATGAACGACAGCTGGAGAGTGTAAGTAAGAGCTGAAGGCAGAAGATGGAGGGAAATGCTTGAGAACAGTTTCTCATCTCTACTGATAACTTACAGACTAGGGGTGCTTGAGTTGAGATCCATGGGTAAAATTATTGGGGGGATGGCGAACTCAGATAAGGAAAATAAGTTGCATTTTCATTAACCACTGAATTTAAGCGTTCCTTTCAACCACGAATCTAGATGACAGGTCACAGTATCAGCAGTACCTGCGCCAATGGAATCAAGGAAGGAGAAGGGACCTACGAGCACATGTACTATCTCTTCCTTCCTCTCTAACTGGACAGCAAAGGGGGCAAAGGCGAAGTCCTGTCTCCCGTCCCCAACCAGGCCGTCTCCCCCAATCCCCGTCATGTCCGTGGCGAGGCAGGGGAAGGCAGGCACAGGCGCCCAGAAGCTACACTCACGTTAATGTTGCTGTTGAGCATGGTCTCGAAGTCTTCGGCGGCTATCTTGGGTACTTGGTTAACCAGACTCATCAAGAAGCGGCCCACGGTATTGTCAGCTGACACCTTTCCAGACTGAGCACCAAAACCAAGGTTGAATGAGGCAGAGTTAATTCTCACCACTGAGGACTGTCGTTTCAGCAGCCCCTCTCTCAGTGACCCAGGAGCGGAGATCTGTGCCCTCCTCCTTTCCTTCCTCCCCTCCTCACCAGGACATCTTCTGCATACTGCAACACTGTGCTGAGCGCGTCCTGGATGCGGGCCGATGAGCCTGCTACCTGCTGCAAGTCGCTGGAGAGTCCAATCACCCGGTTGGGGCTGAAACAGGTCTTCATGATCAGGTCAACTGTGGGGTTGGGTTGGGAGGTAGAAGAAACAGAGAATTCAGTGATTCCAGTGCGAAAGAGATGGTTTCTAACCATCCTGCTAAGACTCCTACCTCCCTCTGGACTTCATCAACTGCTCTGCCCTCACTGCTGCAGCACTGCTTCCTGCAGACGGGGCTCAGCTCCTGGGGTGCCAGTCACTGGCTTTGGTCTCATATGAATAGCCAGGTAGCCTCTAGTACTGATAATCCCCATCTCTAACGACGCCACATGTAATTTCGTGAACCCCCTTCATGTAGGAGAATGACTCTGACTTCTAGTCAGCACACGCTTTAGGTGAATGGTTCCTCTTTAATCCACCCAAGGCCCTCCATCCTTGTTAGAGAGCAGCAACCCCCTCCCATGAAAAATGCCGAAGACCTTGAAGGAGGGCACAGGACGGTCACTCACCTCCAATGCGCTCAGTGTCGTAATACGCGTACTTCACTGTCAGAGGAGTGAACATCACGCCCATGGTCCTCCCAGGGACACCCATTAAAGTGCTGGGGAGAGAGCAGTCAAGGTAAACAGACGGCCTCGAGACGGTTTCCACGTCCGGCCCGGCCGGGAAAGCAGTCACACCAGGAGTATGGCTTCCAAGCTTCTGACATGAGAGGCTTGAACCCCAGAGGTCTCATGGGAGAAAGTCACTTTCTTCCCTTAGCTCATGCACACACCAAACCCTTGGCTGTGAGTGAGGACTCTGCCTTCGGACCTGGCCTGGTGCTGACAGAGGAGTACACCACACACTGCGCAATCTCGGTGATGAGAGGGCTGACACTGGGTTTCCTGTGTGGCCAGCTGCTAGACACCCACCCCCAGCAAACGAGGAGGCAGGACAGGTCTCTTCTGGGACTGAGCTCTTCAGCTGCATCTAAAAAACAATGGACTCCAGCCCACCAAGGTGAGACTGGGTGCTGCAAGTCATCTCACTACGGGTGACTGCCTTTACTATGTTAACTATACGCTTTCAACCAGATCTGAAAGGAGCATAAAATATCTGGGAAGGCAGGGAAGTCAAGCAACAGGTAGAGCTTAGTGGTACACCAACTGGCCACAAGGACTTGCAATCCACCCTCTTGCCTTACTGCACAGTAGTTAACTATTACATCAGTGTCAGACATGGAAACAGCACAAAGTTGAACAGCACACAAACTTAATGAATGCCTTTACTCTAACCAGGAAATAGAACCCTCCCAGCTCCCAGAGCAGCCCCCTCTTCAGTGAGCTGCAAGAGCCTTCCCGGACACACCCCGTCAACCAGCACTCTCACTGCCTCCGGAAGTCAACGCTGTCCCGTTACAGCCACCAAACTGGACATACTTCTGAGTTACTAGACATGTCAAAATAAGGACAGCATTATTTAATCTGTACTACCCCAAGTCCTGTGCTCAGTTCTGGGGGCAAGGACAGGCTATAAAAGGTAACTCAGAAAAGCAGTGAACATGGTGAAGGATCACAACCAGAATACCATGTAAGGATCGGCAAGAGGCACTGTGCGGAGCTGGCTTCCAGGAAAAACGACACAAAGAACATGACACCACGCTCACATACCTAAAGGGCCGCCATCTGAAATTGGTTAAGAGCAATGCATAGAAATCTGGGGTACAGCTAGGGTCAGTGAATGGAAATTCCCACGACAGATCTTGTTTCAGAGTAAATGCATAAAGCCCTTCTAATGACCACTCTTGAGTGAGGCATGGGCTTCCTCAGGAGGCAGAGGGTTGTAACTGCCTGTGGTGGACGTGGGTTCCCATGTCTGGCATGGACCAGATAGCCATGTATGCCCTTGTGGCCTAGGACCCCGGTCACCTGACATAAGCCTTGATGCTCATGCGACCGTTCTGGAGGCTGGTGTCCACGGTGAGGTGAATGGGGTTGGGGGCTTCTCGGCTGTAGTACTCGTGGATCAGTACAGAGTGCTCTGTGATGTCATGGCCTGTCGCATACCTGGAAAACAACACATGGCTGAGGATGCCTGTCTACATGTGATGTCAACACCAAACACGATGGTGGCATGGGTGTCCCGTGGTACCTGAAGTCCCTATGGCAGTGATACCCAGTGACACTGCAAATACTAAAACAATACAAACACATCGAAAACTATTATCAAATCAAATGGAAAGCTGACTTAGAGCTCTTGAAAAATTCCAAGTCATCAGCAAGGCAAAAAAGACTTGTTCAGTAAAAGCCACAATTAAAAAGAGACACTTTTGGCTTCAGAGGAACAGAATTGATAGCAAAACACACTGAATTCATACAGCTCCTTGAGTTAGTACACCTCCATGCTGTCTCCTGAACGAGGAGTACAATATCTAGTCTGGTGGCAGACGACCTTGGCAATTATTGAAAGACTTAGTTCCCTCTGTACCCCAACTTACCAGCCCAGGATGAGCTCATTTGGAGAGACTTTCTTGTGCAATTCATACATATTCTTAGCAAATTCCATGTCAACAGCCACCTAAGAAGGCAGAAAAGGAAGCTCAGAAGCCAGAAGTCGAGGGAAAAAATGGATAAAAAGAGCGAGAAGCCACCCACCAGCCAGAAGAGGCACATGAAGCATGTCCAAACAGAACGAAGCTCTTTGAACTGTAGGAGCTGTAGTTATGATGAGCACAATCAGCGCGTGGTAGAGGGCCCAAAGGGGAGCCTAGCAAAAAAATGGCTGCTCAGGGGCAGCTCAATCCCCAACTCACCTCATCTTCTGACTCATTGTGAGGCACTGAAAAGCAATTGGTGACTTCCACTGAGTGCTTGTCAACAGTTCCTGCAAGAGAGAATTGTCCATGTGTTACGTAATCCAAAGGCCCCTAACAGCCCCTGATCACTTTCCTAACGCTTTCAGATGTTTAGAGTCAAAGTCTATGAACAGCCCTGGCTGGTGTGGCTCAGTGGACTGAGTGGTGGCCTGCGAACCATAGGGTTGCCTGTTCAATTCCCAGTCAGGGCACATGCCTGGGTTGCAGGACAGGTCCCCAGTAGGAGACACATGAGAGGCAACCACACACTGATGTTTCTCTCCCTCTCTTTCCCTTCCCCTTCCCCTCTCTCTAAAAATAAATCAGCCATGCACCTCAATGGGACCAGGATTTTCCAAAGAAATGAAACTCTGGAGAGACCTATAACTCCTTCCTTTAGCCATCAACAATAAGGTCTATTCTTCTTTCACAAGGTCTGCTTTTGCCTTACTGTCCACTATTAAGTCCCTACTCCAGATCTTTACTGTGACCCTCATTTTCAGCCTCTAGACTTTCTCCCTGTAATTAGTCTGCAGAGCTACCTGGAAGATTTCAATTAAGTCTACACAGACCACCCCTACAGTGGCCGAGGCTCAGAGAACACAGTTGAGGGAGCTTCACCTGTACCTCTCTTCAGCCACCTGGTCCTATGGCCCTAACCTTAACCCCATCATCGCCCAGAAACCTGCCTATGAACCTTCAACGCCCATGCCAGTCTTTTACCACAAACTTCTATTGCAGTTCTGATAACTTTATTTCCACTGCATACACTTGTTTTGTGCCCTCATCAAGACTGCGAGTCCTTTGACTTCTCTATTTTTTTTGTTAACTCCCACCCCCAGGCTTTGAGAGCCTCCCTCTCTAGCACAGAGCATGAGGCCTACACTTGTTAGTGGCTGATTCCACTTTATTAAGGGCTCCGGCTCCTCAGGGAAACTACGTCCCTCAAACCAATGGGTATATATTCTTTATCTTACTTGACCTCTCATTAGCATCCAACAGACCCAACTGCTTCAAGCTTCTGAAATAGTTAAGTCTTCCCTATTTCTATGCCACCAGGACACCTTCTACTAGAGCACTGACCACATTATATCCTAATTATCTGCATAGGAGAGTATGCCTTCATCTTCAACTTAAGGTTTCAGTAGAGCTGGTATTACCAAGCTCTGAACTCTAAGTGCCCAACAGTTTTATGATAAATAGCACCAGTAACTTCATCTAAATGAAATGTTTCACATGTTAAAGTCTAAATAGGAAAAATGTTTACGTCCTTGCCAAGAATCCATGCTTCATTTTCAACAAACACTGCCTCTGTAACAGCTCACACTGTGCCATGATGGCTGTCTGTCTGGAAGAGAATCTGAAGACCAGGACAACAGTCCCCGACTAGAGTTGCTGGAATATTGGGGCCATTCAGCACAGACCTTGAGTAGAGAACTGTTTCTTCAGTTAAACAGCTCCAGTGAATTTGGAAAATTTGACAGTGAAGCTGAAAAAGTACTCATGAGTGCCAAGTCGGTGATGCAAACATCATTTCTTACAAGCTCAAAAGCAGGGGCCAGTCACAGAATGCTAGCACATTTGGGAGGCTAAGAATGGGGGTGAGGGTGGAAGTATGGGATGAAGGACCAATACTGAACACTTTTCCTGGGAACCTGGAAGGTGAGTAGAACTTAAAGAAACAAATAAGGGGGTGGGGGGTAGGGAAGGCACTTGTGGCAAAGAGAATACAAAGGATAGGTTTGAGAAAACCCCTGGCTATATTTGGGAGATAATGGATTAACTGAAACTTCTGTAAAATGCTACCCTCTCAAAGAAAAAGGGGGAGGATGTGTGGGTGTTTTAGGGGGGTACAGGTCTGATGTGGTGAAGGAGGGCTGCCAACAGCTGTTTTGTACCAAAAGTGTGCCAACAGTTAGATGCTTTCTGTAATAATCTAATTCTCACAGAAACCAAGTCTAAAGAAGCTCCTGAAAGAACCAGACTTCAGGTGATTTGTCCCAAGGCTCAGGGTTAATATTTGATGGAGTCTGCCTACAAATTGTGTCCTCTTTATAACATACCAATTGCCTCCTAAGGTAGGAGGACTGTTATAAGTTCAAGACAAGAAAAAGAAATGATGCATGCAACTGGAGTGGATTCACAAAGGTGTCTAGAATTTTTAACAAAGATGAGGTGGCAATGATTTTGATGGAGCCAGCAGTCCCCAGAGAAAGGAATATATTGTCAGTAATTCCTCTTCAGTGCTTCTCAGTTTCGCAAATTACTTTAACATAAAATACCTATCCCCCCAATGTGGAACATGGGTATGGTAAAGGTTATTCTCCAATGTGAAGGTTAAGCAATATAACAGACAATGCAATTGTTTGTGTCCAAATATAGAATCAGAGACAACTCAGGGGGGACACTGGGTCTTTAAGGATGAGCATCAGTGAGACTGAGGGACAGAGCATCAGGCTTACACTTTTAGGAAAGCAGATTACCACAGAAGCCCTGAATGGGTTCCTGCAAAATAGGTCACTTGTTAAGAGGGATATATTTCACTACATGCTCCCTTTTGACAAATGGTTAGAAACTTCTTGGTAAACACCTGAAAAGAAAGGTATCTAGTCCGTAGATAAGGGGGGAAACTTGGTCACCAGGCTTAGGGAGTCAAGGATTTTTGATAACCTAGTCGGCGTTTTAACTCATTTTTGGTAGTCTGGGACTAATCATACTTGACGTGAAATGCTACTGGGAAGGTTAAAATGTAAATTATTCAGCACACGGTATTTAATGCATAACTACTCCTTACATACCTTATGTTGCCCCAAATGACAGCAATCAGGCAGGTAGTTTCAACTTTCTTGGGAAAATAAAAATCGCAGAGAAACAGCTAAGAGATCAATGGGGATGGGAAAGGGAGCAAAATAAAGGGGGGAAGGTTAGAAGAGAACGTCAATTTTCTTCGAACACTCACCCAGCAGAGTCCCGATAACTCGGGCAGCACCCTCGTTGCGTCGCTCGTAGCTGTCCACGATGGAGGCCAAAATGACCGGGTGCAGCCGGACCACACGGCCCCCGGGGAAGGGGCCTGGGAGAGCAGGGCCAACCAGCGACTGCGCCGGGGTCTGCGCCGGGGTCGGCGCAGAGGCCGGGGTCTGGCCCGGCGCCGTGCTCGCAGCCGCAGCTGCCGCCGGGTCTGGGGATGAGGGTGGTGCTGGAGTGGGAGCTGGAACCGGCGCGGGAACTGGAGCCAGAGCTGGAGCTGAGGCCTGGGCAGGGTCTGGGGCTGAGGCGGGGGCCTCAGCTGGGGCCGGAGTGGCCACAGGAACACTCCCAGGTACTGCCGGCGTGGCCATCTTGTCGAGAGAGAAGGAGCGTGCAGCGGAAAGGAGTAAGTTAGCAAACATTGACAGCACGATAGGCTGAGAACCCACCGCGTGAGCAAGATCTTTGTTCCTATTGGTTGCTGGTAACGCTTTTCACAGCAGTACCATTTTTCCCGCGGACCTTGTGCTCTTTGATATTAGTCCGATGCGCACTGAGTGAGAGCTAGACGAATAGTTCCTAACAAACTTATGATCGTGCCGGAAAAGAAAAGACAGTCTGAGCACTTGCCTGCAGATGGAGGCAGAGAGCTGTAATAAGGGTCGCAAATCGTGTTTTCCGACTTCAGTGGCATGACTGTCAAAAGTGTCTTATAAAAAAAGGGTTTTGTTTTGACAGCGTCATAAGGTGTCAGTCTGTTGTTTTATTCATTCCACAAATTGAATATGCGACCGACACTTTTTTTAGGCGTTTGGGATATATCAGTGAACAAAACAAAAATCGATGTCCCTGAAATATTTACATTCTAGACGGTAGTGAAAAATAAATAGTACCTTATATAGCATGTTAGAAGATGATAAGTACTAAGAGAAAGTAAAAATGTGGCAGAAAGTAAGGAGGAATCAGGAGTTGTGAAGAGTTAGGGTAGTCACAATGAGAATATGAGGCTTGAGTGGACTTGAAAAAGTCATGGGAAGTGGCCATGGGGGTGGGGGGAGGAAGAGCCTCCGCATAGAGGGGGCAGCTAGTACAAAGGCCTTAAGGTCAGGAAGTAGAGCAGGTCTGGTGTGTTTGAGGAGGCTATTTGATGGCTGGAGTGTTAAGATGAAGCAGGAGAGTAGCAGGAGATGGGTCTCTAAATAGGGGTTGGGGGCGCAGATCATTAAGGACTCCCAGGAAGGGAGGCCATAGGAAGAACTTGGCCTTCTAGTCTGAGTGAGATAGGGAACCATTGTGAAGTTTTGAGCAGTGCAGTGCCATGATCTGTCTTAGTTTTAAAAGGATCACACTGGTTGCTACGAGAAGAATATAATGGGGGGCGGAAGTTACTGGGGGAGAGAGGAGCAGAGATACTAGTAGGAGATATGAAGTACTCTAAGCGAGAAATGATAGTGGTTGGCACCAAACCAGTAGCAGTACAAGTAGTGAGAAGTAGCAGATGTTGGTGGAGACAAGAGGATTTTCTGAGAAACTGTATGTAAGGTGTGAAAGAGAAGATGACTGCAATTTTCTTGAGTTAAATAGTGAAGAAATTGTCTAACGAGATAGTGAAAACTACAAGTGGAGCAGGTTTTTGGGAAAAGATCATTTTTGGATGTGTCATCATGGAAATGTTCATTAGATATTGCAGCAGAATTGTAGAGTGGTCAGGTGGAGATTCTAGCCTGCCCTTTGGGAGAGGATTAAACCAGTAATGCTCGGTAAAGTGCTTGGCATATGCCTGATATCCAGTAGTTATTAAGTGGTACCATTACTATGCAATGAAAGGAGGTCTGATCCCAACTCACTGTTTAACTTTGGACAATCTATAATTTTTCTCTGAGCCTCGCTTTCCTTGTTGGTATATTGGGAGGGATAACATCTGTTTGTCAGGAAACTATCATCTCCCTTAATTAGGTCAAATCCCAGCATCCAGCTGTCAAGTTGGGTGTGTGAGTTTGGGTTTCTTAGCCCTGACTCTTATGCCCAAGAATGGCTTTTCCCTTGGAGATGCTTTCTATAAGTAGAATTCACATAATCCTGCTCCCCTGTCAGTGCCCCTGGCAGGCATACATTATTTTTTAATCCCCCCTAATACAGGTGAACAGCCTATCAGAGAATGATTGAAAAGTGACTCTTGGATTTGATATCCTGGATCTGCAGCAGCCCTAGTAGAGCACCATCAGTGGAACTGAGCTGTGGGGGTAGGGGGTGGTATGCACAAGGAAACCAGAATTCAGGTGTGAAAGAGTGGTCAGTTTGAAACAATGGCAGTGGGTGCCACTCTCTCTCGATAAAGTTGCTGGGAAAGAAAAGAGACATTTGAAGCAGTACCTGGGGGAACAGCAGGACTGAGAGGGGGACAATGTAGGCTGGAAGGGCTTTACATATATTTTTAAACTAAGGGTCAGGGTCTAGAGGAGAGAGAATGATTGAATATGCAAGTGTGTGGGCGCCACTAGCCCCCCATGGCAAAGCCAGGGGGCCAGGACCAGCCGGCATAGCCACTGCTCGTGGAGACGCGCCGCAAGCCCCCCTTGGCAAAGCCGCTGCCCGTGGCCGCAGTTCCTCTCCACCTTGCTTGGCTCCCTGCCTAGAACCCGCTGTGGGTAGACAATAGGTTTCCCAAGAACTTATTAGCATAAGCTAGACAGCCTGTTTCCCTGTAGAAGGGTAGGTCATGCACCGGTACTTGAAAAACAGGGAAGTTTTGATAGCACCCTGTGTTCCCCTGTTGTTCCGTGGAGTAGCTTTGCAGAAAGGACAAAGAAACTGGCTTGGGTGCGGCCCCCTCCTGCTTATTCCCCATAATTGTAATAAAAGCCTTGAATAAACGGAGTTCGGGGCTCAGCGGGATGCTGAGACCTCTCCAACCTGACTCCCTGTGTCCTTGACTCATTTCCACCTCCTCCCCTCTCCTGGCGAGGCTGGTCCGCGGCACAAGTGTGAGTTAGGGGAGCCATGTAATGAAACAAGGCAGGAAGGGGAATGCAAATGGAGAAGCCTGGATGAGGGGGATGGTCTTGGGCAGGGTGAGGGACATGCTGGAGAGATTGCCCTGAGCTATGACCTCCGTTATGGGTACCTGAGGGGAGCCTGCCTTAGCCTGGGTTGGTGCCCTGAAGTCATTCCATGGTGAGAACTAGAGGGGAAAGAACCACCCTTGGAGAAGAGAAGTTGCTGCCCCAGCTGACCAGGTACAATCTTGGGACCTCCTACTCATATGTGGATATGAGTTGGGTGTGGACACTTCATTGTCAAAAACTTTGCCTTTATATGGATGGCCTAGGATTTTTCTTTTTGGTAGGAAAGAATAAAGGGACAGATGAAGAATCAGAGACACTCTGGAGAGGGAAGGAAAGTTGTAGGAGCTCCTGTCAAATGATGTTTTCCTCAGGAAAGTAGAGGCAAGGCAGTCTGGTCTGCTGAGAACGGCAGTGCAAGGGTGGGGTTCAGCCTTGGGTCAATGGACAGTGTTTGGAAGAAGGGCAGAGAGTGAGCCATCAAAGGCACACTCAGTGGTCAATTATGGGAGGACCCAGTGGAGCCTGGAGACCTCGAGGATCTGGTCAGCTTTTGTATTTTTCCTCAGCCACAGAGTTCAGGGGCAGGTGGAGAGAGATCTTTGTCATTGTCTTCCTAGGGATCCTGATGGCCCAGGACAAGGAAGTGCGTACATCCAGGATGCTGGCTTTTCAATGGCTGCCTGGGGGATCTAGGTAGGCTGAATCCTATTTATAGAATGAGTATATAAATGTGTGTATGTGCGTGCACACATGCTTGCCCACACATGCTTGCCCATGTGAGAGAGTGGGGAGGGAGGGAGAGATAAAGGGATGAGGAAGAGGGGAGAGAGAGAGAAAGCTCCAGTGTGAGCCAGAGTGTGGTACCTATCAGCTAGCTTCATTGGTTTCTCTCGCTGACTTGGTTTTGTCTGCTCTTTTCTCTCTTTGTATCTCTTCTGACTGTTTCCACCCTTGATCTCTGAGTCTTTTGTCTGCATTCCTTCCATTGTTGGGACTCAGTTGTACCAGTTGTCAGTTCTGCCCATAGCCAGGACAGGGTTAACAGGGAGGCAGATCTCATTTCATTTCCTGCCTCCACCCTCTAATTAAAATTGGTTCTTTGGCATCTCAATTCTACTTCCTTCAGGAGTGATTCTCAGTTCTTGGCTCAGTGATCTCCAGACCTGGAGCCTTTACAGTAAGTGGCCTCCCTCCTCTCTTCTGTCACACATGGGAGCTACGAGGCTGTGCCTCACTCTATTTTCCCACCTAGGTCTCTTGGGCTTGGCTCTTTGCTGCCACATTTCTGTCTCTAGCCTCAGCTTGGATAAGGCTCTGGGAGAGACTAATTCCTGTCCCTGCCTGTTCTCCTGGACTCCAGAAGACCTCCCAGAGCAATGGGCAGGGGATGCTTGTAAAGGGAGGAAAGGTGCATGGGAGAGGCTTTCCCCACTCCTCACCTAGCCTCTCACCTTAGAGGATGCTCTTACTCATCTTTCATGGAGAATACAGGGGCCACCAGACACGACTACCCTCATTTTCTGACAATAAACCCCACAGACCTGCCTAGTTCTACCAAACAGCCTCTCTCACTCTCCTTAGGCCTGGATGTTCTCTCTTTCCTCCTGCCAAAGGCTTTGAATCCTATCCCAATCCACATTCTCCATTCTCTCCTCTGGCACTTCTCTCTCTCTCCTGCCAGCATTTCTAACCTGACTCCTCTGTTGGATGTTTTTGTTAGCATTTGCCACCTTCTCTCACGTTAAAACAAATGAAACCCTGTTCACTCTGATTACTTCGGAAACCCTCTGACTCCTTTTGTGCCAAAGCTTCTTGAAAGATTTGTCTGTGTGTGTTTTTCTTTTTTGCATCTACACATCTTCACTTTTTTATCCCATCCTTTTGTTGTTAATTTTTAGTTTATCAGAGTGTCACATACTCATAATTTAAAAAGACAGTTAGAATTAAACAGGTTATGCTCCAAATAAAGTAGATCTCTGGTCCACCCCTCCTGCCACTATGCCAGTCTTTCTTCTGGGGGCAACTACTTTAGATTTTAAAAGGTTTCTCCTTACATCTCTGCCTTTCTAATGCATGTATACCATTACCTTCTGATTCATCAATTTTAGTCATTATCTATTGACTTCCAGGGTGATCCACCATTATCCTTTCAGTATAGTTATACATTTTAGTTAAAACAAAAGTCAGTGGTTACATTATTATTTCTATGCAAATATTATTTACACCTGAGTGTTGTAACTTACTATTATGTAAATTCCTTCTATTTTTCCTTTGTTATTTTTTTTCTAGAGCTAGTAATTTCCTCATTTTACTTCCTTGTCTAGCGTTCTTGGTAT